GAAGACACCGATACCGTCGCAGAAGGGCGCAAAGTCGGGCTGGATCATGCAGAAGGCTCCGTGGATGGACCAGAAAATGAAGAAGACGATGAACAGATGGTGCATGTACCAGAATCGTTCGAAGTTGGCGCGACGAGCCTTCTCCGCAGCCGTGACAGCGATCGCCATGAGAGCAGTCAGCATAACGTAACCACTCCATCCGGGTCCAGTTGCAAGGTTGGCAAGGATGAAGCCCATGAATCCCAGGTTGTTGGAAGCCGAAAACTTGGCAAGGTTGTTCCAATGGGCGATAGTGTGGACCCACGAGAAGAAGACGATAGACCAGGCGACCAGCTTGTGGAAGGTGATGTTCTTGTCGAACGGAATAACGTCGTTCAACGGCGTACGACGAGCCATGGAGATTAAGTTCCTGCACACCGGGAAGAGGATGAAGGCAACGTCGACGTGTAATACGAGAGCGGCTGAACGAGCAATGGGGAAGGTCAGACCAAAGGTTTGTCTTGAACCAATGGAGTTGTCCTAGGATGTGTGAGCGGTATTCGTCGTGATCTGAGCTATTCTTCCATACCTTTAGCCCATAGTTCATCATACCAAAGACGAAGACCATGACGTGCAATATCGCAAATGTAAAAACAAAACTATATACGTTAGTTGAGGCTCTTCACATGCGGTGTAGTGCAACATACAATCTTCGGTAACCCTCATTGACCATCCACACATCGAACTTCTCTTTCCGGGTCAACTCTCGCGCCTTTTGGTCCGACATCTCTCCGGACATGAGCATGCGCGTCAGCGGCGGCCATCGTGACCGCTCGCGACCTGTGAGACTGGTGGTGTACGACATAGTTGACAGAAGAAGCGAACGTAGCAGCGATTGGGTGCGTGTTGTGGATGCCGATGATCTTCAGACCTGCTGAATGTGGCCGAAGTAGCAATGAGATCAAAGAATGTCTAAGTAATCTGTACAAAGGTTAGATCAAAGCCACCAGGGACAACGACGCCATGGTACAGAAGCCACGTGAAAGAATGGATTGACTTACTAAAAGTGCCCGCACAAAAGAAGAGAAAAGGTACAGGAAGAGGCGTTCAGTCACCCGGCTAAAGAGGCACCGGCATGAAATCGGTCGAGTCTTGGGGTGAGTAGGGGAAACAAAAGCCTATAAGCCAACGTTGCAAGGCGGCGAACAGAGAGAAAAGCGGCTACGACGGGGGGCAGGACAAGTCAGGTCCGCTCTGCCATTAGCGAAGTGGATCAAGGGTATCAGTTCGTCAGATGGCTTGGAAGATGAGCAATCCAGGGCCCAAAGAGCGAAACGGTAGCAGAAGTCGAACCATCTTCCATGGCTTTGCACTGCGAGCTGCGACACAGCAAGCTCCGCCGTCTACCAGCGCGTATCGCAACGGGATCATGACCAATTAGGGACGCGGAATGGCGTGGCTAGGGCTAGACGCATGCCAAGATGGAGCCCTGAAACATGAATGGCCATGCGCTTTAGTCTTCGGCATGCGAAATGGCAGAGCGAGGCGTTTGAGAGGTGTTTGGGACGTGGGAGGCTAAAACCTAGTGCGTTAGAATGGGGCGCCTCCCTGGGCACCTCGCCCCTGCCTAGGCAGTCGGTGGGTTGAGCCTCAACTGCCGATGGTGGCCTTGACTTCATCGCCATGCTCCGACTTTCGACCGCCTTCCCATGTGGACCTGGTTACAAGCTTCGATGGTACACGATAATCTCGCGGCATGGCTGAAAGTGACAGCTGTAAGGGGCGGATGCGCTTGGTGTTCGCACGCCTTGGCTGAAGCTTGGGATGGGTTCCACGACTGATCACGTCCAGTCTCATGATTGCAATTCATTCGACTGCTCCCATACGACGTTCGCTCTGCATACACGCACAGGTCTTCACATGTCGACGATCCAACGGCTGTGGCGTCATCGACTTCTGATCGGAAATCGTACTCGGTCGGTGGTATTTTGCATGCTGCATGTTTTGAACGGTGCGTAGCTGCTAAATCCGATCTATTCCCGTCCAAACATCTCCGGTCTTGGAACCAAAACACCGTGGCCCAGATCCACCTGACGCTTCCATATCAAACAAGAAGCTTTGGTGCTAAAACAATGACAGAATCCACTACAGCTTCAGGAAACCACCAGATGCGGATATCGCCTGACCCGAAACCCATTTCGCGTCGTCGCCACAAAGCCAGGCCACGATTCTTGCGATGTCGTCCACAGTCCCTACCCTGTTCTCAACAGCAGTTTGCTTCAACTGGGCCTCCACGATGTCCTTTGGCACATCGTCCAGCATCTCTGATTCGGTGGGGCCAGGCGCAACCGCGTTGACGGTGTGTCCTGCAGCGCCTAGCTCTTGTGCCAGACTCCGAGTCACGCCTTCTATCGCTGCCTTGGATGCGGTGTAGAGAGTTAGGTTCGCGAAACCTAGGCGGGCGCCTATGGACGACATGTTTATGATGCGGCCTGGTGCTCGTAGATGTGGAACAACTGCTTTGGTTAGCAGAAGAGGCGCGCGAACGTTGACGTCGAATATGGCGGCGTAGTCTTCTGCTGTTGTCTCCGTGATAGATCTGTTCATCAAAACACCAGCGTTGTTGATCAAGATGTCGATCTTGTCACCGAACGCTTCCCTGGTCGCTAACACAATCTTTTCAGGCGCATCGAGTTGTCTAAGGTCCGCCTGAACAATTCTTGATGCGCTACCATTGCCAAGTGATTCGATCTTTGATGCAACCTCCTCCGCTAGCTTTCCGCTCTTTGGCGATGTGTAGACGAGCGTGACCTATTTCACATATGAGTGTCTTGATTGACTTGATTCGAAGTCGTTGGACTAACCTTTGCTCCTCTTCGCGCCAGCTCTAACGCCAAGCCAGCCCCAATCCCTCGCGAAGCGCCTGTGACGATGGCAACCTTACCCTGTAGAGGAAACATTGTTGGGTTCGATGGAGCAGACATGATGGCAACTTCTCAAGACGTGTTTTGTAGAGGGAGGTGAAGTGGGATCTTTCCATCAGATCTTATAGCACTCCGATGCACCCACATATCTAGTGACATAAGATATGATGAGTGGATAAATTTGATGTGGCGAACCGTACTTGAAATTGCTGCGTTGACGTGAACAGAGTGGATAAGGTCATACGTCATTGGTTCGTTACTACCGATGAATCTCACGAGTGCCGATAAGCTTCGGAGAAGATTGTGCAGCCTGTAGCAAGCATTTGAGAAGACTTTGTAGCAGATGTTGCATGGTTATCGCAGAAGCACAATGATCTTTGGCGTACGATGAAAGAGGTCATGTGAAGGGTTGAATTATGTATTGAATATGAAAGTACAGCAAGTCGTTGGCTCCAAGACGAGAACATCGTGTACTCGTAGGTAATCTGTCTCCAGCCTATGCAACGAGGGGAATAATTTGATGCGCGCTTCAATGCTCCAGCAAGATTTGGGTCCAGGTGTCCGGTCGAAGAGAGGTTGGTGTAGGCCGAGGATGTTGATTTAGGCTCGACGGAGATTCGACTTGTCGATATAGTATAGTCGGTGTCATTATACCAGCAGCTGTAGAGTTGTACATGGCCATTTCCCGCCCGTTTTACGTCGAGCCCAGCATCCTTCTTCCGCTCTCTTTCCAAGATCACCGCTTGATGAAGCCAAGCAACGGGCCCTTCTTTGCATTCGGATCCTTCTTTTTCGGGTACATCTTAGATGTGACGAAGTGGACGTACCATATCAGGGTACCGAAGACTGATAGGCCGAAGATGACGAGGAAGAGGGTGATGACCGGCCGGCCGTCGTTTTGTACCGAGCGCAGGGCCGCAGGGGTGAGGATTGGTGCAAGCCATTCGAAAGCCATGGTGTATTTGTTGGTTGCGTTCGTTGGACTTGGGGAGGTCCCTGCGATAGTATTCGTTCTGCCGGGGGGAGGACGAGCTTGCGATGATGATCAGGGTTCAGACAGCCGGCTGCCACTAAAACGAATGTATAAAGATATCGCCAGCGATGTTGAAGAATCGAAGTAAGGAAAGGAAACGCGATGTTCAATGGCAGCTACAGAAATGCGCAAAATGCGGCACTTAGCGTTCATGTATCTCCACCGCAGAGCCGCTCAAGCGGCAGCGCGACGGCCAAACCAGACTCGTTTCGCGCATGACCTGACCTCTTAGCATCCTTGGCAGATCGCATGATGTTTACAGAAAAGGCCATACACACGGCGTGTAGAGCCATGTTGGACGTAAGGCGACTGTATGATATGGTGATTGTTTCAAATGCAAGGCGGGCCAAGAGACCATGGTGAGACGCTTTCGTTGCAGAGGTTCCGGCGCCCGGCCTAGGAGCTCGCTCGGGCATGGAGCCCTGCAGGGCGTTTTGATGTAAGTTGCAGCTGGTGCCGGGTTGGGTGCGCATCCTCGGATACTCCTGCGTTCTCGGTCCTCGCTCTACTGGCTGTACACCGCATTCCCCCGAATGTCCCGAAGCATAGGTGCCCAGGTATCCACCCACGAAAGAAGTGACGGCGAGTCAAGCAGGGTGGTCACAATGGCCGACCACGTCGCAACTGCCGGACGACTCGGTAAGCTGACAGCTGCGTGCTACCAACACCGCGCCATGATATCTTGTTGTTGTACTGCGTGCAGTGCTGCGATGGCTCGTTGGTGGTGAGGACCAACTCGTCTGATTGCTGGTGGTCTCACGTAATCATGCCGCCCGCTCGGCTGTGATTGGACGCAGGAAAAACGCTCTTTTCACCGACAGTTCGCACAAATAGGCCGCATGGTTCCCAGCCATCCCTCGAGCTTACTGCATATCCACCCTTTTTCACCTGACCAAAATACTCCATTGAAGTTGTTTTGTAAGTGCATTCGCTGCTGACCTTAGGTACCTGGAGAAGCGACATCTCATTCTCACTTTCCACGCCCAGAACCAATCTCGTTGCGCCAAAGGTCACACAGACATACACAAGCTCATTCCGCAGTGTTTGCGTATTCTCTCGTCACAATGGCTCCCCTCCTTAAACCCGAAGACTCCAACTCGCCCACCGAACGACCTGTCTCCCGAGACTCCGCCGAGCGGGGCAAGAAGCGCGCAAGTATGTCCGGTTGCTGCTTCCACGATATTAACCACGGACAACGCTGACGCTACGCTACTGCGCACAGGAACACAGTCAATGCCTCCGCCAGAGCTGCCCAAGCTAGTCGCCGAGCAGCATGCCCCCATCCCGACCAACGACAAAGACACACAGCGCCTGATCGTCGTCCTGTGCAATGCGACGCTGGAGACGTACAAGGCGTCGCATGGCACTGGCCGCGGGCCCGGCGCGCGCGAGGACAAGTACAACCTGCTCAACAGTGACGACCACATTGGCGTAATGCGCAAGATGGGGCGCGACATAAGCGAAGCCAGGCCCGACATCACCCACCAAGTGCGTACAAGAGGAGGTTAGCCAGGTCCCTCAGCTAACGTGGCGCCACAGTGTCTGCTCACATTACTCGACTCGCCAATCAACAAGGCGGGCAAGCTCCAAATCTACATCCACACCTCCAAGAACGTGCTCATCAGGGTCAGCCCTACAGTGCGCATTCCCCGTACCTTCAAGCGCTTCGCTGGACTCATGGTCCAACTCCTGCACCGACACCAGATCCGGTCGACGTCCTCGCAAGAAAAGCTCATCGAGGTCATCAAGAACCCCATCACCGATCACCTCCCTCCCAACTGCCGCAAGGTCACGCTCAGCTTCGACTCCGAGGTCGTACGTGTCAGCGATTACATTGGCGATCTCAACAAGGGCGAGAGTATCGCAGTCTTTGTAGGTGCTATGGCCAAGGGCAACGACGACTTTGCCGATCACATCAAGGACGACAGCATCGCTATTAGCCAGTTTAACCTCAGTGCCAGCGTTGCATGCAGTAAGTTCTGCCATGCTGCCGAAGACGTTTGGAACATCTTCTAGTTCAGCCGACGATCAAGCGCTGGACCTATCTATATTGGACACGCCAACTAGCCCACAAGCAACAACTGACTCACCGCGGACGAGTCGGATCACGGACCGCACAAACGGAAGATAACGGGAACTTTTAGGCTGCAGGACACGCTCATGGCTTAGATCGCAACATCAACAGCCTGAGCGTTACTGCATCTGATTTTGGGCGTCTGCTTGAGGTTTTTTTACAACAAAACAACTACTCTGGCTCAACGCACAACAATCAATCTTCTTTTGAAGATCGCGGGGCAGCTCAACCTACCCCGCACCTGTTTTTCTTTCACCTTGTTCCATCGACACAGCCGCTAGTCTGTATGCGCGCTGTGTTTGGTGTCGTACCACTGGGTCTTGTCATGGCCTGTCATTCGACCTTGAAACGTGGTTGTCAGTAGTTAGCTTGTAGGATATCGCGGCTCTCCATCCACTCTAGGATTCACGAGTAGGAGGATCTTCAGTGTCAGGAATGACATGTCCGGCGAATGAAAAAGTATACTTCACGTCATCTTCGCAGTACGATCCCTTGAACCCCTCTTTCAGGCATACACCTTGTAATTCTCTCGCTCTATGCCTTACAAGGTTAGAATGCATTCTGGGGGCTCATCGCATTTTGCGCGTGTGGCGGGAGGGAAACGGGTAGAACATCTATCCATGGAGCCGCATCGCCGATCTCCCATGATGATCTCGCGTAAACATAGAAAAAGCAACAGCATGGCAAGTCCTACCGACATTTGGGACAACTCCAAGAATCTCCGACGATGCCTGCAATCGTAGCCTCACTACAGCGTCATCTTGGTCCTTGGTTCTTGTGAGAACGATGCCCCATCATCGACGTCACACCATGTCCAATCGAGCGTTGCGACGACAAGTGGCGCGTCCAGACCGCAAATACTCTGTTGCACGCGACAAGCGACCGAAATGCTACGATTCCGTATCCAATGTAGCGTAGTGGGCAATGTGAGGCGTGCGACGACTTAAACCTCTCGCGGCTCCGGGCCGGCGCTCACAACCAATGTCATACACCGACACCTCGCTTACATTAACAAATTTGTTAGCTGCAGACGCAGGACATGTGGCAGCATCACAACATGTTGACAGCGACCTCCTTGATAGCTAACTGCAGCGGTGGGGCGTGCTAGTAGGGTCTGTCCCGCAACGGTATGGAACGCCCTGCTACTCGGTTCACGATGCATCGAGACGCTGCACCTGGACGGGGTTATGATATAAACCTCGAGGTCGTACCGATACTTCCCCCCCTACTCACACCATACATCTCCAACCGCTCCAACTCGATCACACCTCACTGTGTGCATATATCCGCCTCGTTCCCTTCTCAATTCTTCGTTTGGCGATTGTTCTAGCCGCGTCCTGTCGTTCTTGTTCTTCACCGCTGTTCAGCAATGCCCGTCTCCCACATCGGCCTCACGGTATCGCATCTTCCAACTTCGACATCGTTCTTTCTTTCAGCGCTGCAGCCACTGGGCTACCGCTACATCGGCCAATATGGCAACCAAATCGGCCTTGGAATAAATGATTCCGATTTCTTTCTCTGCCAAGAAACGCCTGGGTCAGTACCACAAGGGATCACCAGGCACACCGCAACTGACAGCTGAGTAGCGTAAAAGCCGGCGCTGCACACATTGCATTCACCGCACCTAGCACGACCGCAGTCCGGAATTTCTATACCGCTGCCTTGACCGCCGGTGGTCGTCCTAACGGGGCCCCGGGTGCTCGTTGCGCAGAGGATGGCCATTTCAACGCCGCAGTAATCGACTTTGACGGCAACAGCATCGAGGTTGTCTACCGAAATGGACCTGATATGAGACATGACGGGACCATCATCACGCACAGCAGAGTCATTACATGGCAGAGGACCGTTTCGCAGAGCTTCCGTGAGAGCCCGAGTATCTTCAGCGCTCACACGTGTGCTTCGAGAACTGGCGCAATTCCAGTCGCACCGACAGCCGAATCAGCTGCTCCGAAGGCACCAAGCCCTGTACCCAGAAGCGCCTCTGCGCCCACAGTCGCTCCTGTTCCCGAAGCGACGACAAAATCAGATGCCGGCAGTGGGGCGGCCACGCACATTCTCGGAACATTACTTGGAGCTGCTGCAGGTGCAGCCGTCACATATGCATTCATGCGGAGCGAGCGAGATAGTGCAAAGAAAGAGGCGGACTTCAGCGCCTTCATGGACGCCAAAAACGCGGTCAACACTGCGGCTGGCTTCTTCGCTCAGGCCTCATCCCAACCCCCGACACCCCAGCAAGCCCCACAACCCGCGCAGCCACCTGTCCAGGCCATTGCACCGCCTACACCTGAGCCAGTACACCGCATTGAAGACGACGCGCGATCTTCCTATTCGCGAGCTTCTCAGATCCCTAGGAATTCCGTGCCGCGACAGATCGAGGCTGCGCCGGCCGACTACTACTCACCGTCTCAATTCGAGCGTCCTCGCTCAAGGGCTGCGGAGCCTCTCGCCATCGAATATGCCCCTGCATACTCTGTTGCCCCGTCGCAGACTCCATCGAGGCTCACACCTGCTCACCGCTCAAATACTAGCCCTGAGTTGTTGATGATCGAGAGGGCTAGAAGCACCGTCTCGACAGCCAAGCCCGAAAGTGTCGCAATGACTGCAAAGCCACCGCGACCATCGTCCAAGCCTCAAAGTGTCGTCTCAAAGGCGCAAAGTGTAGCTCACAGTGCTGCGCCTAGCTCCTTCATCTCATCGTTCGTAGCAGACCGCGAAGATGAGAAGAGCAGTTCGGGTAGGTCCAAGGCCAGGTCCTCTCATACCTCATCTTCAAAACATTCCTCGCACAAGGAACACGGTAGTAGTGGTAGCAGCCGAAAGGAGCGTGGCTCATCGCCTTCTCCACCAGCCCCTGCATCCAAGGCTCCGTCTGCAGCCCCCACTAAGGCTGCATCCAAGGCGGCGTCGATCGTCAGTAGCATCTTTAGCCGCGACAAAAAGAAGCACGACGATGATGACGACTTCATCGATGACCTCGACATTGAAGAGCTAAGTGAGGATGATCTTGACACTGTTGTTCCCAGCGACAGCATCTCCCAGATCGGCGACGCACCACGACGCAAACACCGTTCCCACCGGAGCGACAAGTCTAAGAAGGATGATGACGCTGAAACCTCCGTGAGTCACCGCAGGAAGAAGCACAGCGACGAGAAAGAGTCTTCCCGTAGCAAGAAGCATGACGATGAGAAAGAGTCTTCCCGAAGCAAGAAGCACGAGGACGACAAAGAGTCTTCCCGCAGTAAAAAGCACGATGATGACAACGAGTCTATCATGAGCAAGTCATCAAAACGCTCTCACCGTTCGCACCGTTCCCGCAAGACGTCGGCCGACTCGGCCGACGACGAGGACTCTTCGCGCCCTCACCGTTCATCCCGCTCTTCCAAGTCCAAGCCTTCCATTGTCTCGGAGCCAAGTGAGGTATCTACTGTCCGCCCCGTTAAGCCCTCCAAGTCATCAAGAAAGGATAGCCTGACCCAAGGCCAGTACGACAACCTCTTCGACGAAGTCCAGTATGGTACTGGCGCTGTACACGCCTCCAGAGGCGGCCCCACACCCAGCATGGTCAGTGCCGCACGCAAGAACCCCATTCGCAGCATGATCAACCACAACCATGCCACCAAGATGAGGAACTTTGAGGGTAGCCAGGCTGGGCGCGCAAGGGACAGTGATGACTAGCTTTGTCTTTCTTATTCCTCTCTCTGGGGTACTGTATCCCTGCATCGCATCGCGTTGCTCCATTGCTTTTGCTCCTTATGCTTTTGCATCCGCGTAATGTTCTCTCACGTCATTGCGTCATTGTTATTCCTGTCTATCGTTTGCTCCTTTTTAGCGGTCTGGCATTTTTACGGCGCGGCATTGGTATGGCGTCATGTTTTGCTTTGTACGACTATCATAGATTAGAATTAAACGAAACGCAATGAATACAAACGGTATATGGGTGGATTGGGAAAAAAATCTTTGTCAGACCAGATGCTTGTGATAGTGTGTGATGCTTCCCTTGATGCACTTTACATCGACTTCCTGCACATCCTTGACATGATGTTTTCCTCCGATATATGAGCGAATACATAAAGTTTGATTGACACCACAGCAGTCCGCACTATTTCCGACGTTGGGATGCTCCGACCCGATCCGCTCTGCACTCTTATACGCTCTATCATGCCCCAAGCATCTACACCTCGTCTTCAGTGCTCGACTGCTGCCCGTTGCAAAGATGCGTATCGCATCCCTCGTCCTCATCCTCATCCTCATCATTAGGCTGCCAGCCTGGGCAAAGATGCGTACCGCATCCCTCTTCCTTGTGTATGTCGTGAAACTCTGCGTTAATGCAGGTCCCGCCCCTCTCGCTCGGGTCACAAGCCGCATCTGGATGGACTATGAGGCTGTGGTGCCCACATGCGTAAGTGGTGATGAAGAACTTGCACATGTTGCTGGCGGATGGTATGTATGTATAGGTTGATTGGTTCGAGAGGGTGTCAGTGGTGGGTTTGGTCGACGTACTTGAGGGCTTGGACAGGTATGTAGGTTGTGTGTTGGATAGGTATAAGGAGATCTGTGGGAGAGTAGATCTGTAGTCGAAGATATAGGGTAATTTCTTCTTCAATATATGCGGATGCGTGATTGTGATATATGTGACAGGACGTTTATACTTCATGCATGACTATGGGTTCGCATTGGATTGACATTGATCATTGTAAGATTCCGGACGTAGCAACTCCACACTTCAAACACTCACAGGTCCCCCTTCTCTAACCTTACTCTTGACTCTCCGCCAGCTCACCTCGCGCGGGAAAAGCGCCTCAGGTGGTGCCTGCCCCGGATCACACTCCCAACACTCACCACCTCTTTCCCGATAGACTTGTGTGAAGAAGGTACACTCTGGGTGGCGTGTACAGTTGCGTTTGACCCAGAACTCGTGTTGACATGTACTGTGCTTGAGAAT